CCTCGCACTGCACACCCAACGTGCACGCACGACTCAATTTTTATTTTTTTATTAATTAACACTTACAGCATTATTTATGTTACTATCACAATAATATTTCATTATTACTGGTTTTCAAATACATTACTATTTATAACTATTTATTACTGTTTATTACCATTACTATACTATTCATTACTATTTTCAAAATCTCCCCAATTTCCCTCTCCTCAACGCTATAAAATTGGACGAAAATCTCAAAATTACGTTAGAAATTCGAAAAATTTTGGAAATATTTCTGAAAATATTCGAAAAATTTTGGAAATATTTCTGAAAATATTCGAAAAATTTTGAAAATTTTTCGTTTTTCAACCGAAAAAAAATGAAAAATTTTAAAAATCGTACTGTTCTTTGTCGATGGATGCGGTGGGTTGTTGATGGATAAGCACTCCTTTGAGGTTCTCCTCTAATTTACGGTAATTCTCTCGATTCGGTGTGGCCACTGGTAATATTGTACCGCTGTTGCCACCCGCCACTCCACCACTCGCCGCACAAACACCTCCCTAACAAATTCAAGTTTTACGCAAATGGTAAAATTTTTACCAAAAGGTAAAAAATTTACCAAGACTACGAAACGCAAACAACTAGAGAATAGCCGTACACACGGAGACGATAGCCATTCAACTGAACGCACACTACACCGACAAACAATTACACACAAACCAAACACACACCAAATAATGCTCGAATAATAGAGAGAATAATAATAATAATAATAATAATAATAATAATAATAATAATAACAAATATTAACAGCGATGACAATAAATAATAGTAAAGAATAATAAATAATCATAATAATAAAAAATAATAATAGTAATAATAATAATAATAATAATAATAATAATAATAACAATAATAATAATGATAACATCCATAACAATAAGTAATAATAAATGATAATAAACAATAATAAATACTATTATTAAATAATAATAATATTAAATAATAATAAAAAATAACATTAAATAATAATGTTAATTAATGATAAAAATAAATAATAGTAACAATAATAAATAATAATAAAAAACATTCATAATAAAAATAATAGATAATAATAATAATAATAATAATATGTGATAATAATAATAAATAATATCATTAAATAATAATGATAATTAATAATAATAATAATAATAATAATGATAATTAATAATAATAATAATAATAACAATAATAATAATAAATAATAACAATAATAAATAATAATACCAAATAATAAAAATATAAAATAATTACAGTAATCCAACTGAATCGCTTTTTGCAAGACCGTAACAACGCTATATCCTCACTCTGCAACGTATCTTTCCCGTTTGATTTGAAATACTTTCGGCCCCGCCCACTGCCACACGCGCGCGTGCAGCAGTGGGCGGGGCTTGTGGTCACTAAAGACCTGTTGTTATTCGTGCATCATCATAGTCCCGCCCCCGCCTTCTACAACCCTACCTCGAATTCCGCCTCCCCCCCATTCTGCATCCCCCCCATCCCGCATCCCCCCCTCATTCCACCCCCCCCTCCCCCCCCAAANAAAACCAATCCACAAAAACAAACCATATTCTCCGCATTACTATTCGATCGCGTGTGCTGAATAAACTTCTTCGGTTGCCTCTTCAACGACCCACTCGCCAACTGATAACTTCTGCGTTGTTGTTCACTTCGAATCGCCTCGAAATCGCGTCGAATTCGTTCGCTCAACACGCAAATAATCATTGTGGCCGTTTGATAGTCGTTTATACGACCAAAATAATCCAACCTGAAATTAAATTTTTTCGTTTGAAATTAAAACTTACTCCCGCAACCTAAAGTTGCAATACTTTTCATTCAAAATTCGGAAATTCGGAAATATCGCTCGCTCAGCTCTCCAGGCGCTCAGCCTAAGCCTCAGCTCATGTCAGCTAACATCCAACCTCGGATCTAAGCCTAAAGTCAAACTCACCCTCATTAAGGTGAGTAACAAATAATCATAATAATAATAACAAATAATAATAAACAATAATAATAAAAAATAGTAATAATAAAAAATAATAATAATAATATTAAACAATAACGATAAATAATAAATTACGAATAAAAATGCAAAAAATAATCACCAAACGCACACAAAAATACAAACTTACAAACTGTTAACAAGCGTTCTGC